AATATATTTATAAAATAAGACGAGCGCACAACAAATATGAAATTATTTAATTAAACAGAACATATTTGGTCACTGCAAGTGTTTCCTGGCTCCGTCAGCGGTTTTTGGACTGGACACAGGGAATGCCAACATTGTGCGCAGTTGTGAGGAATTCACTCATTTCACATGAACAAACTCAAAATAAAAAGATAAAGACAGCGTTCACAAGATGTCCTTCACAGAAAGTGAACTCTTTCACTGTAAACAATTCCAGCCAAACTGAATTTGATGGCGAGTGATTTGAACATTTGAAAAAAAAAAAAGAGAAAAAAAAAAGCCACTAAGTATTTTCAGTACACACATCTGTACATTCCCCAAAATACAAATTATATTAACAATTATTTATTAACAAATAGACATGTGGTATTGTCGGACTCCTTTTTCTTTCACGCAGACTTAAAAATCAGCTCTTATAGGGATCACCTCAATAGTATCGTCAGCAGATTGGCTTCTTTAGCCCTCACAGCAACATGGGTCAAAACAAACAAAGAGAAAAACACAAAAAGCAGCTATCCTCACCTTCAATCTCTCCTCACAAGCTTATGGTGGTAAGGCAGTCTGCATGCTGGGGGAAGCTGGAGGCTTTGTCTGATGTCTAAGGCAGCCAATGAACCAAGAGCAAAAAACATTTTCTTACATCTTCACCTCTGAACGGACGGTGACCCAGACAAACTCGCCAGCCTACCTGCTGAATACACCCACTTCAAAAACAGGCTACAGAAGACACAGCGCGGCCAGCGGTCAACATGGCTCCACGAGGGGCTTCTGAACTTCATTCACATAACATTTAGCGTCATTTGTGGGTAGCTAGGTTTGCCTCCAAGTGGTGCATAATAGAAATGGGTGATGTTAAAGGTTTTAGGGAGAGTGAATGTAGTTTGAGAAGATGGGTTTACTCGAAGGTCCAGACCTCCAGACTGTGGATGTTAAAGTCCTGCTGGGAGGACAGTGGCTGGTTGTTAAAGGTGGCACATTTGGTGGTGGTCCCTCGGTACAGCTCGGCGTCCAGCCACAGACCCAGCTGACCACTGCAGAGGAAGGCAGTGCTGATTACTGACAACTATCAAACCCTCTACTGTCTCTACTCTTCTGTCCCAAGGATTTAGATTATTGAGACAACTTGATGCTTGAATTGAAACTAAGGTAGCTGTACATACCCTCCTCCTCCCATCTGCAGTGAATCGGTATTGCCTTTCACAAAGTAGGAATTCTCCCCTGTCCAGCGGTACACCTGAAAGCAAGTAGCAAAGCAGCACAGTCACTACTGAGATCTTTTTAGTGATTAAGGGTGAAATAACCAGAGTGAGCTTGTGAACTGATTGGACGCAAACCTTGATTTCAGGACAGAAGCTGTAGAGGAAGGTCTCTCCTGTGCCATAGCAGTGCTCGCTCACTCTGAAAGGATGAGTTGAAAATGCCCCAAAGATCTGTGACGAGAGTCAGATTAGATTTGAAATCAAGTTTCCTTACGACTAATAATCCCACAGATTCCACTCTCTCAGGCCATAGCAAAAATCAAATTGGTACATTTGAAATTAGTCTTAACCCACAAAAATCAAACGCTTCGAAAAGCAGAGCAGACGAACTTCATGAAGATATTTGGTGCATCGCAATAGCACAAATCATTCACAAGGTACTGCGGTCTGAATGCAGACAGAAAAACCAGCTCCGCCTAGATTTTTCCCATGTGTGCTTCTCATTATTATAACTCCTCAAGCATTTTGGGCAAAAGAGAAAATTCAAATGGTTCCTGAAAGATGAGAATTATTTTGTAATTTTACACCCAAAGTTATAAAATAACTCCAGGTGGCCTGCGTAAAGTGTTAAACCATATAAGAAGATAGGCAAAGTCTGGAAAGTAACAGAGTGATGCAGTAATGCCTTTTACTGCACTCTTTATATTGGCCAGCAGGGGGCCCCTTGTTTCAAAATGAAGTGGAAGTGAAAACTATGACCTCATCAAACACTCTTCTGCTGACTTTATAGACTCAGTAGCTCTAAACCATATGAGCATGCAGTGTCCACTGGTTTGGTTTTAAAACGCTAAGACGATGTGACTGTCACTGTCAGCTTGAGGGTTAACAGATATGAATCTATACAGGCAATAAAACACAAGCCAACAACACTGTGCTTAGGAGTCAAACCATCTGAGGTTACTCACCTCCCGATGTCTCATATTCTGTTCACCTAATGCTGATGTCACGTTCCTAAAGCTCACAGTTATTTAAACACTTCACATCTATGATGACTATGTCTACCTGGTTATCCATGTCTTTGATGACCAGCAGCACAGGACTGTCAACATCTGCAAGGTTCCTATACAGAGTCTTCAGACTGGTCCCATGTTTCTCTGTGCTGTAGGCCAGTCTCCATGGATAGCCCTGCACACGGGCAGGCAAACGACAGGCCAGCTGGGGAAACGTACACACCATTAGCCCCGAAAAACTGAATTTCCTTAAATTCCTTTCACCAAGTGAGATGTTAAAGTGTTCAGAAAGCAGCCGCATGTCTGGATATTTGAAGATTACCTTCTCAATGTGTGTATCCTGCAGCAGATCACTTGTATCAATGAGCATGGGGAGTGCATCCATAGAGAAGTCTCCATCGATACTGCCAAAACTCTGCCTACGTTTAGCCTCATCAAGGGTGATAATCTAGCGCACAAGTACACAAACGGAACAGAAATGATTGCAAGACAAAGGTGCTTTTAAAATGCTGAAAAAGGTAAAACACACCACTGTAGTGTTAGCTTGAAAAAGAAAATAGATGAGGTGAGGTGAGCTGGAGGCCCGAGCATACCTCCCAGCTGCAAGATGCAGGGTCGCTGAAGAAATTATCAATCATGTCCAGCTCATCCTTCTCCACCACAACGAAGCCCTGCTCTCGAGCCTCCTTCCCGTACACATCTGGGGACCACTGAACGAAGAAGGCATACAGATCGTCCACCCTACCGCAGACACACACACACACACACGAAATCAGGAGACTGCCGACTAGTGTAGCCGCAAATATACCATTAGTAAACCAATGCCCCTTCAACACAGCTTACATCACAGTTATTTTTGCAGCATTTAACTGGCACTAGGATTATATAAAACATTTAAATATACCTTTCCTGTGGCACAGCAAACCAATATTCTGGCTGCTTTTCCCGGCCTCCGAATGAGTGGGCGGGGCTAGAGGTCATGCAGGTGGCAAAGGACTTCTGCATTGGCTTCCCAACTTTGAAGCAGAGGAACATTGGTGGGTTTTTGCTCTTCTCCTCTGATGAGAAAAGCATGTCTGCAAGGTATGGAGAAAATAAAGAGTTTAGCTATTTCATGCTGAAACTTTATTTTAGTCCCATCGAAGTCTGAAATCTTGTACCTTCTATTGGAGCTTGCATTCTCTTCAGTAGCCAGGATTTCATCTCCAACTCATAGGTTTTCTTCTGCCTCTCCTCCTCACTGAGTTCGTCCTCCTCTGCTGGTCTGTCTGGGCCAGACGTCTCATCAACCTCTGAAGCCTGCTTCAGACTTTGCCTCCTGATTTGGTCCACTGGTGCACTTGTTATTTTATCATCAACACCGTTTAGCAGCTTTTCAGTTCCTTCACAGTTTGCGTCTTTGGTTTCAGTTACCATCTGGTTTGTAGGTTTATTATGCAAGTCACCCTGTTTTTCAGCCTCTGAAGAGGACAGTATCGACTCTCCATCCTCGATGGAGGTGTTCTGAGCAACACCTTCGTCTTCCTCATCAT